GGACCGAATAAGCTCTCTATGCTTGAAGCAAATTGTGAGCTTTATTTTGACACAAGTTTTCGTCTCAAGATAAAGTTTGATCGGAAGCAATTAGCGAGTTGGGCCCAGCTGAAGCCGAGTAAGGCTTGATCTCCGCGGAGTGACGAGTGTCACGCCGTGACAGATATCGTCAGAGCGAGAAAGCAACATCTGCAAAAAAGTACACCAAATAGAATAAACCAAGAAATAAGGATGGCTCGCTTCTTATGCCTAACTTTGTGATCCTGACGGCGAATCTCATGATTTGTTTGGCTATTTTAGGCCCATCATACAGTCTTGTGGACAGGGAAAATTGATGCGGTAGCAACCGTTTTATTTTATAATTAAGGTGAGGTATGATTCTGCAAAGTTTACCCAACCCTTTTTCCTAAATCATGAACCTGAGTGAGTTCGATTGGTTGAGACACCACAAGGCAAGATAGCGAAATACCTCAAAAGGTATTTGTTGCAAAATTCCAATGATCCTTTGTAAGTCTGAAATGTGAAGACGCGCCTTCTGCATCGGCCTACTTCGAGGAAGCAGGCAGTGGGCATTTCAGGTCTGTCGTGGCCATCTGACGCAATGCCTAAGCATCGCTGCCTCCGAGACTCGGCCAGTCCTGGCTCTCTCCTTCAATAGGTCGCCACATGGTCGGGTTGGCTGCGCTGTGGCAGTTGGAGCCTAATCCTGAGAGCTGGGCACCGGCGTGAAACCGGACGGAGGGGGCGGGGTCGAGCTCGGTCTCGGGCTCCGGCTCGGTCTGGGGCTCGGGCCGAGGCGATGTGAAGAGCAGTGAACTGGCAGGGCCAGAGCGCGGTCTGCCAGGCAGAATCGTCTCCTCTCTTCCGAATGGGGGGGGGCGACTTGCGCTGCTGCTAACAATCACTTAGCCTGTGTTGTTGTCCGCCAAAATATGCTGCCAACACCGTCTGCCACACTTACATGCAGGCCCGGCTACACATATGCACAGTCGCCACGGCTCAAACCATGACGATGAAGCGGCTGGACGACAGCCGGAGCAGTAGTTAGCCCTCGGGCGGTTGGAGTCAGCCAACTGCCGGGGATTAGGCGTGACCCCCTCTTCTCCGCTCGCACCTACTTCTACGCCTGTGCGGGGAAGCAGGCGGTCGCAACGCGCCACAACCACACAAACACACAATTGGGTACATTTTGCCGAGATTTATTCAAAAGTTCACAATCAGTTATCCTTTCTGCTACGGCCAATTCGCCGCTGCTTGAATGCCTATTCATACGCCATATTCCTCTGAAGTAGCCGGCAGGGGGCCAGTTGGGCGGCCTGTTCTGGAGGACTTGGATAATATAAATCTATCGTAGAGCTGAGGCACGACTATAGGCAGCATACACATACACACACACACACACACACACATACAAGTAAACACACAATCGGATGCACACACGCGCGTGTGTACCCATTTCTCCCGTCCACTATCAATTAGCCGGGAAATAATTTGGTCCAACCGAGTCGCTTCTCGCTTGCCCTCCACGTCATCAATGCCACACCTCCCTTCCACATGGGCAATAACTCTCTGAGCTCGTTTCTTCCAGGAGGTGGGCAAAGCCTGCTGAGACCCGACGTCTGACGGGTGATGATGAAACCGGCTATTCAGTCTGTCCACTAGCATGTCAATCAGTCAATCAACCGTTCATTTTGTTGGACAACTTTTGGCTCAATCAGGCAATCAGACGAG